TATTTTTAAGCTAGAAGCTACTTATAAGCATAAGCTAGGCCAAACAGGTTTTGGAAAAAGCTCTTATAACGAAAAACTCTTTTTTTATAATGAAGAAAAAGCTGAAAATTAAAAGCTCCTAGAAGGAGCTTTTTTTTAAGCTCTTATTTGTTTTTCTTGAATTGTGTGCTTTTTTTTAAATGAAGAGTGATAAAGATAGAAAAAGAGATAATTTTCTTGAAATATGTGCTTTTAAGTAATTTTTAAGCTAAATTTTTTTTGTAATTTCCAAACAGCTTTTAGCTTCTTTTTTTAAGCTCTTTATTTTAACTTTATCTTATAAGTAGCTTCTAGCTAAAAAATAAGAGGATCCAAACAGGCTCTTAGGCTTATAAGAAAATCTTTTTAACAAATAGGCCGTAGGCTAATTTTGTCAAGCCTTGCCTAAAGCCTCGTAGGCTGGCCTATTTAATTTTTAAAAATAAAATAATTTATTTATTTTATGTGGCAATTAGTACCAACCCTTGTCTTGATGGTGGTTTTAAGATATTTCAACGAATGATATTCTCTTGTAGACTTTATTTCAGCTTTGGTTGACCTAGTAATTTTATTTTTTTATTTTTCCCATTTCTTTGACTTTATTCCTCTCTGATATACATATAGAGCTGGGGTATTATGTTGACTCTTTCTTGTTTGTCATTTTTTATTTCTTATGAGAAGTACTAGTGCTTGCACGAATGAAACTTTGCTCATTATATTTTTTTAGTTATTTTTTTATTATTGTAAAATTTTAATGCTCATTAGTGAAATTTATATCTCGTGTAAAAAAATGCAGTAATTTATGAACACGTTAATGACTTATAATGTCTAGTGAATATTTTAAAAATTGTTAAAAATATTTTTAAAATTTTTTAAAAATATATCACGAGGGAGGCCTACAAGACCTGTAGGCCATATCAGACTCTCTAATTTTTACAAATAGGTCAGGCTTGACCTATAAATAAAGTCTTTAGTAGGCCAGATAGACTGAATACTTTTTTACGTAGGCTTAGGCCAGGAAGGCCAAAGCTCAGCCCAGTCCAGCTCATTTACACCCCTAACCACAAGGGATCTAAGTGAAAAATTGAAACCATAGGGGATTAAATGATAAATTATTTCAGCACAGTGGGTCTAAGCAATAAGTTTAAAACCACGGAGGGTTAAATGATAAATCATAAAACCACAACAGGTGAAAGTGAAGTTTTCGCTAATATAATTTGCCGTTTAATTTTGTACATATTTTAAATCATCATCTTATACTTTTAATTAATTTCCTCATATTTTGTTATGATAATAAACCTGTAATTTTTTTGACTCGCGGGTAAAATATAAATTTGGAAAAGAGAATAAAATTAAAATTTTAGGAATTAATACCATTAATTAAAATTCTAACACACATGTTAATTTATTATTATCACGAAGTATAAGAGAATTAATTATAACAATAGAAAGTATAAATAATAATTTAAAACATGATGAAAGTTCAAGAAAAAATTATACTTCAACTTATATTTATAATTAGTTCGTTTTTAAATATCAAAACGTGTTAAGAGCATCACTTAAAATTATATTCATTTTATTTATATTTTAATAATTTGTTTTTTCAAATAAAAAATTAATAATAAAGGAATTAATATCTATCTTTTTAAAGGATATAACATTATGTTATTTTAATTAAAATTACAGTTTTTTATGGTAAAAGAATGAGTTAAACAATAAAAATTATGGTTGACAAAAATAGAAATTTTTTTAATTTAAATATTAAAAAATAATCATTTTAACTAACATGAGAGTTCTTTAAAAAGAATTATTTTTTCATGTACAATAAAAAATAGAAGGAGAGTTACTTCAGAATTGACACACATAAAGGATGTGGGGCCTACTATGTTGTCCTGCATATTTGCCATTCGATTCATCATGAGAAAGTGGTCTATCCGAGCTACCTTTGTTAAATGAGTTATTTAATTTCAATCTATTCGTGTATTTATTTATATATATTTTTATTTCATTCTTCTTTAGCATAATTATGACATTCATTGATTAATGATTTTATACTTTCATTCTGGAATTGGTATTTAATTTAAATTTTTATATGAGGTTACTATTACTTTAGATTTATTATCTGCTTATCATTAGATCAATTCAAAATTATCGATTAAATGGTTACCACTAATTTTAAATCGATTCAATAATAATTAATTAAAATGATAAGCCTAAAATAGTTGTAATTATATCCTTGTCCTTTGTATATAACAAATAAAAGTTTATTTAATTGCTAAATATATCTTATCCTTTTAGTTAAAATAAAATAAAATTAATTAGTTTTATTTTTAATTTTAAACTATTTTAATATCTGGGAGATGCAAATACTATGAGTCTATATATATGTTTGTAATTTGCAAAAATGTATATATATGTTTGTGGATCAGTTGAGAAATAAAAATGATTTAATAAATTTGTGCAACTAATTTTTTAATTCAACTATGATAAATTTAATTTCATATTTGAATATATTAAACTAAAAAATAACTGTTTGGATTGCATACTAATATGTGATATATTTCTCTCATTCTACATAAAATAATCTCTGTTTTTTTTTTCTCTTCAATTATTTGTGAATCCCACTTATAATTTTGTCTTAATAATATAAGATAATTTATCTTTAATAATATAAAAAAATATTTCCCTACAAATATTACTTTTTAAAATTACAAATTTAAATTTAAATGATTTAAAATATTATTTTTGAAAGTTAAAAGAAAAATCTTATGTTCAAATTATGAAATAATGAAGATACGACAATAATAAAATATTAGAAATTATCATTTTTATTGAAAAATACTATTTTTTATTACAAACAATCAACCGCTTCTCCTAACAAAATCCAAACATATTGTTTTTTTTTTTCATTTGGAAAATAGCTTTTAAATATTAAAAAAAAAAAAACGATCATCTCAAATAATTAAACAAATTTAAGCACGCTTTTAACTGTTGATAAAGTCAAAGCTAGTCATCTCCTGCATCAGTATCCACAAGAATGAAGGGATGACAACTGAACTGTTGGGCCAACGATACTACCTATGTGGGTCTGGGCCGTTACTCTATTTGTGAGGATTTACATGAAAAAAATGATCTCTCCCGTCTTCAAATTTCACCCACAACCCAGCGGGGCCCAAAATTGCTCCGTATAATCACTGTTCGGTTTGGTACTTTGGTCAGAAGGTGGCGGGAAAAGAGAATAGAGTAAATATCCTTTTTGGTCCTCAGCAAATTTCACGATGTCCGCTTTAGTCCTTACCAAATAAAAAGGCCCATCGTGGTCTCTAAGAAATTCAAAATGGACCCTTTTAGTTAAAATCGTGGTCCCATACAAATTCAAAAAAGACTCATATTAGTTCTTAAAAGGACTAAAATGGGTCCATTTTAAATTTTTTAAAAACACGGTAGACTTTTTACTTGCTAGGAACTAAAGCGGGTATCGTAAAATTTGACGAGGACCAAAAAATGTATTTACTCAAAAGAATATTTGCCAATTCCAAACAGAAACAGCAAAAGTGAACGCGGGACAAATATATAGAATTGAGAGAGTAATGTTCGATTGATCGGAATTTTTTACTATGGTTCAGATTATTATAGTTCTTCCATTAAAAAATATATTTTTTGATTAAATTTGTTTTTCTTCTTCCTCTCTTTTCAATCTTTTCATTTTTTCTTTCATCTCCATCTCATCAATTTTTTTCCCCGAGAGCACACAAATATCTCTTCAATTCACACGATGAATCTTCTTTGTGTTCAAAAAGATAAAAATAAAATAAAATAAAATCACACTTTCGTATAATCAGATCAATTTATATATTATTAAAATGATATGACCTTATGTTACCAAAAATAATAATATAACTTTCATGTCACCAAATGGTATAAAAGTAACAACAATATTTATTTTCAGTTTACTACATTGAGGAGGTTGCATGCATGCATATGATCCTGACCTTTTTATTTGTCAGCCGTCCACTAAATCTATAGAGCTTGTTTCGGTGTGTGTAATTCATTTTTCTTTTTCTTTTTGTGTGTTAGCAATTTGTAGAAAGTGCCACGTGACCAGTGATTTATTAGTCTAATGTTTATGTTACTTGCAATTTTTTCATCTGGCGCCTTAAGCGTCAAAATATCTTAGCGGACACACCACTCTTAAATGATTATGCATCCAACTAGAATTTCAAGGATTATGTGAAAATATTTTCCTCAGGCAAATACTTTTTAGTTTACAATGTCTAAAATTTCCTTTAGTACTGTAACGCTAATAGCATTTAAAAGAAATAAAAAGTATGAAATTTCAAAATTATACGTGAATTTGAATATGAAATTTCTTAAATGGTGAATCTTAATTTTAAAAAATATATAAAAAAGTATTTGTTAATAAATGTTATAAGGATATTGTATAAAAAAACATTTAATAATAAAATGATATTATTTTTTGGTAATAAATGATATGTTTTTTAAACTTATTATGCTTTATTTTCCATTCATATTTTTTTCATTTACTAACCAGGGCTGCTCAGTTACAATATCCCTTACATTATTTTTTGATGTAATATTTATTTACCTATAAATATATGATATAAAAGATCTTTCGAGTAATCATATGACATTTGTCTTTAATTTTTTAATTATTTTAATTTTAAACCTCATTTACTTTTTTTAAAACCAAAATATCAAATTTTCATTAAACGTTAAACCTCATTTGTTTCATGCTGTAATCAGCCTCTCTTCGTTGTATCCATGTCTCTTTTTTTATGCAGTACACTCGTGACGCTGAACATATCCATTACCCCAAAAGAAATAAGAAATAAAAAATAAGAAATAAAAAAAGACAGGAAAAACACATAACAGTAATTTAATGGGAGCGACAGCGACATCTTCTTCTTACTTCAAAGTTGAAACCCAGCCCACCAGGCCCAATCACACGGAAACCACGTTATCCCCTTCCACTCCCATTGCCACGGTTGTCTCTTCTGCTCCACCGCTACCGCCACCGCAACCCCGCCGTAGTTTATGCACAAGCCCATCATCTACCTTCACCATAATGGATTTAATCCACTCTTCTTCGCTTTCGCCTTCGCCTTCGCCCACGGCCAACGGTCATTCCCTTCAAGACTCTTCAACATTCCCTTCTAGCTTCACCAAGTTCAACTCTGCACTCACCGCCGGCCTCTTGAACCCAATGTCGCCGCCGCCGCCGCCCTCAACAGACAAGACCCGATCGAGCCCAACCCTCTTCGAGATGATGGCCAGCGAGCCCGATGTCCATCCCAGAACTCAGATCCCTCCCTTTCAAAACCCGCAAATTCTAGTACCCGATAAGCACACTCTCATCATGCAACGAATATCAGAAATGTTGGGAAGTTGCAGCCCCGGTAACCAGTTCAACGACCCTTCCACCAGCGATATCAAGCTCACCCTCACCTCCAAAGATGGTATTAGCGTTTCTATCAACGTTCATCGCCAAATCCTCGTTTCCCACAGCAGATTCTTCGCCGTCAAACTCTCTGATCGGTGGGCCAAGCAACAGCGCTCTACGTTGCCTTACATTGTTGAAATTGCTGACTGCGATGACGTTGAAATTTACATCGAGGCATTGATGTTGATGTATTGTAAGGATCTTAGGAAGAAACTGATGAAGGAGGATGTCTCCAGAGTTCTTGGTATCTTGAAGGTAACACCTTTCTCATTGTTTCTTTTTTTATGCTTTGTTCTTTTGCGGTTTTATATTTGTTCTCTGTTTCATCAGCTAGATGAACTGTAGGATTAGGTAGATACTTTGAATTTGGGATTTCAACTCTTTATGGGTTAAAAGAAATAAACTTTTATATTTATTTTTTTCAAGTTGCATGCTTTTAATGGTTTTGGACTTTTGGGGTGTTAGGTATCGGCGGCAATTGGATTTGATGCTGGGGTTTTATCTTGTATGGAGTACTTGGAAGCAGCACCATGGGCAGAGGATGAAGAAGAGAAGGTGGCGTCACTCCTGTCCGAGCTTCGCCTTGAAGCTATGGGAGGTTGTGAGGTTTTGAAGAGGATTTCATTTCAGGTTTCCAATGGAAATGAAGAGGGAAATGATAGCGAGCAAGTTCTTCTAAAACTTATTCATGTGGTTCTTGAAGGCAAAGATGAGAAGGCCAGGCGTGAGATGAAAGGGTTAGTGTCAAAGATGCTTCGTGAAAATTCAAATCAGAATGATCTTCGGAAGGAGTCATTATATTCGGCATGTGATGATTGTTTGCAATTGCTTCATCACCATTTTCTGCGGGCTGCATCTTCGGAACTGCATGATGTTGGTCAAATTGCAAGGCAGGCAGATAATATGCATTGGATCTTGGATATTTTGATTGATAGGCAGGTTGCTGAGGATTTCCTCAAGACATGGGCATCACAATCAGTATTATCTGAAGCACATCCTAAAGTGCCTGCTGTTCACAGGTTTGAGGTTAGCAGAGTCACTGCCAGATTGTTTGTTGGGATTGGGAAGGGACAATTATTGGCTTCTAAAGATGTCAGGTGTTTACTTCTTAAAACATGGTTGGAACCTTTTTATGATGACTTTGGTTGGATGAGGAGGGCATCCAAGGGCCTTGACCGGCACCTAATTGAGGATGGTCTTAGTAACACAATTCTCACTCTCCCACTCTCCCGGCAACAGGAAATCTTGCTTGCCTGGTTTAACCGTTTCTTGAATTCTGGTGAAGATTGCCCAAATATACAAAGAGGGTTTGAAGTTTGGTGGAGAAGGGCTTTCTGGAAGCGGAATGGAGAGCAAGAACGGGCACAACATTTACGAATTACAACTGCAACAATTGAGAACCCTTGAAAGCTGATTCAAAATGCAGGCATTAACAGCATTTAACTGGTGTGTCTCCTTTTTAACTCGTGATTATTTCTATTTGATTCATCATGATGATCATAATTTAATTCTTCTGTCAAAACATGGTAGTTTACCTACGAAATCAATTGATTGAAATGTGTTACACTCAAGGTCTTCCTGTTTTGTAGGAATAAGATAACATCGTTTGTTGTCTGTCTACCTCTGATTTTTTTGGGAAATAACCAAGAGAAACGAGAGTACTTCAATATTTCTTTGTTCCTGAACTAAGTTTTGTTTTAACAAAAAAATAGATTTGTCTAGAAAATATTCAGATTTTAATATTATCTTCTTTCTGCAGTGAGTTTCTGACTATTTAATGTGAACTACTGTACAAGAGTTCAAGGTAATGGAATTGCTGTGAAGATAGGATTGGCATGTTCTTGAGATTTGTGCTACATTTAACAAGATCAGCAGCTCGTGGCAGGTTAAGATAATGAATTGACTCCTTGGATGGTTCATCATGAGGCTAATTTCTTTTACGGTAGACATCCAATAGCTTTTGAGGCAGGACAGATGATGATGATGATAATCTTTCCTTGCAAATGAATTCAGGTTGATTCTTGAATATATTCAATCGGTTGTGTTGTATATTGGAATGACTTAGATGTAGAACTACGAACTCTGCGGGCACTTTTCGGGAATATAATTTGCTTCTTCATTGTAGTTCGTGAATTCTTGAAGAACTACGAGAGAGACATCAGAGAACTTCATCTTGGAAAACTGAAGAATGAATTTCATCATCTACTTTTTACAGTGATACATAGTTTATATAAGATAATGTTGTTAACTGAGCTATTCTTCTAACAGATCTAACAAATATCTAAGTCGCGTGGTGTCCGTTATAACAGATGAGGAGCTTACGTGGCTCTCTTCTCTCATTTTATCACTTTTATCAGCAACACCTTCTTCTTCAATTCTCTGCTTTTCAGTTTGAGAGATTAGGCAATTTTTGTCTACGTTCAAAGGTGGCCAATAGTTGTGACTGTGTCTGTCTCTAGGTGCTGCTGGCACAGGCATTCAGATAATGGTGAGAATATCCATTTCTTTTCACAAAAAATTTAAAGCAAAGAAACACCCAAACGAATCAATCAATGAGAGGTCAAATAATAACAGCTTTTGCATTGATTTTAAGTCTCAATATCAAAACAAATAAAAAAAGACCAACGTGTATTCTCATGAGCGACATGAAAATTCAATAGATAATTCAACAAACTATGGGATGACGGGCCCAATGGAGCGGAAAGTAAAATACCTAAAAAATGGATGCAACTTCTAACGGTATATGCTTTTTTTTTTTTTTTTTTTTTTGATATAAGTGGGGGCACAGCCCAAAAAGAAACTAGACAGACATCTGATTCATGCTAACAGCCACATGATCAGTCAGCAAATTTAGACAAAAACTGTTCCAAAAAGACTCTAAGCTAACTGGGGGAGAGGAGAACAATCTCAACTCTTCACCCTTAAGAAACAAACCAGATTTGGCCAAATAATCAGCAATAGAATTGGAATCTCTAGGGATGAAATTCAACTGGAACACTTCAAAGTTAGCAGCAAGGTTTTTAATCCTCTCAATCAAAGACACCAGCCCACAAGCCCCATATTTTGCTTCTAAACACATAATAGCCTCCTTACTATCACTCCCCATCCACACCTTTGATAACCCGAGTTCTGCAGCAAGAATGAGGCCTTGACAGATACCCTCTAGTTCAGCTTCTAGAAGGGAACATTTGCCCAAATTGAGAGAGAATCCCCCCTTTCAATCACCATTGATCGAAGCAGAAAATCCCCCACACGCACCTTGACCAGTTGATTGAGCAACAGCTCCATCAACATAAATTCTTACAAACTCCATACTTGTAACACCCCGTTCTAGAACCGGTTTGTTAACATCGCATTATGATATTAAGCGCAGTTACAATCACATGGTTCAATTAAAATCCGGTTAAATTTTTCTTTTTAAAACATGCTGAACTTAAGATAACCAAGTGCGTGATCATAACCGTATTACTTTGCGGAATCAGATAAACCAAGCTTAACATCATGTTCTTAATTACAAATCTCATGTACATGCCAAAGGACTTAGCTACAAAATGAACATGATCAAAGCAAGTAACCATGTATCAGATACCCATTACTACTATAATGATCATGCACTAAGTCCTCCAAAATACATCATATGACATCAAAATATACATATAGCAATGCTAAATGGCATGCAACTCAACATGTTCAGCTATCAGGTACAGTCTACTCATGCTTCTTGCCTCGATCAACCTCACCTCTATCAGTACCTGAAATGATGCCCCACAACACGGGGTGAGATATACGAATACATCACAGTAAACCAGAGGTCCTTGGAGATCACTTCACCCTAAGGTTCACTTTGATGTACACACAATCATAATAGCTTAACACATTCTTATCCACAAGCATCACATGGACTTCCAAGAGAGATCCACTATGGGCTGTTTCTCTTAGGCTCTTACCACATGGAGATCCACATAGGGCTGTTTCCAAGGGAAGTCCTTTCCTCAATCTATTCCAAGAGAGATCCTCAAAGGGCTGTTTCTCTTAGGCTCTTACCACATGGAGATCCACATAGGGCTGTTTCCAAGGGAAGTTCCTACCAATTATCCTCATCATAATACTATCACTCATAACCTCAATCACAATCCTCAACCATTACCTCATTCATTATTGCTACTTCTATAACCATTCCTCAATTACTCTTAAACAATCAATAATCATCAATCAATCATAACAGGTATCAATGAATGAATCAATGCATGAGCATACAATTACTATCATAATTACATATCACATCTCATAAACCATTTCTTCTCAATGGAGTATGGTGGAACACTCAATGGGATCAACCCCAAGGTCCAAAGGTTTACCTTGCTCTTGAGCTTTCCTCAATTGCACACAACCCCAAGGGTTGGTCACTCCACTTGGTCCTCTTGCCTCAATCCTATCACCACAAGGAATACAATCAAACAATGCTAACAATGCAAGGAAATCCATAGTTCCGAGCCTAGATTTCTCCAAACATCAAAGCATACTAAAATAACACTATAAACTCATTTCTACCGATTAAATGTCATTCCTAGCATTTTTCACAACATACTCTAAGCCTCATTCTTCCTTGAACATAGCCAATCTACTCAACATTTCATAAAAACCCTAAAACACTATTCATTAAACCCTAACCATGAAATTTTCCAAGAAAACAAGGTTCAAGGGTTAGAATCTTACCACCAATGGTCACACAACCAAGGATTGATGGCTCCTCAAGCGTCAATGGAGGTTGAAACTCCCAAAACCCCACACTTCTCAAAAGGGGCGAATCTTTGGGGGCCAATATCTCTCTCCACAAGGACTCCCACTCAAAACCAAGCTAGGATTATGAAAGAGGGGAAGATTCTAAGTGATTTAGGCTTTTGAATCGCTCCAATCGGTTGAAAATCACACAACCTAGGTTTTCTTTCTCTCTCTCTCTCTCTCTCCCTCTCTTCCTCTCCTTCTTCTTCTCTTCTCTTCTTTCTGGGCGTCGACTGAAATGGGGGGGGGGGAACAAGGGTTTTCTTTTGTTTTATGTCACTTAACTTGGTTAAGTGATATCTAACGGGTATTGGTTCATCTATCTATTCGACTCCATTAATTACCAAACTTTACCCAACAGTCTGGAATATTTTTCTAGGAATGTTTCTAATTTTATTTTTATATTTTGGGTACTTTTGCCTACACCCATTTATACCCCTTAATTTTCACTTAGTACACTTTTTAACTCCAAAGTGACTCAGATTCATTTAATTAAGCCTTATACTTAATTTTACTCACTAAGACATGCTGAATTATTTAATTAAAATTAATCAATTAAATGTTTAAGTTTGGGGTATTATATTCACCCCACCTTTTTAACGATTTTGTCCTCAAAATCGACAAAACCACCCATTCAATCATCTATGGATTTATAATTAGGTGATACTAATATGTTCAAGCACTTTTATCTTTCATTTTCCGCAAGGGTCATACCTATTCACTTGATATTCAACCCTGACCTTCTGCGGTCCTACTAATAACCTCATACATAAAATCTCATCTGATGGAACTTCCAAGAGAGATCCGCTATGGGCTGTTTCTCTTAGGTATCTGACCACAAGGAGGTCCCGAAGGCTAACTCCAAGGGAAGTTCCCCTCAATCTAGACCTTTAATGAGAATTCTCTATCTCATATGATACTATCCTCATGGAGGTAATACTACCACTACATCCATGGAAAGGTCATTGCATACAACTTACGATCTTTTAGCAATCAATACATAGTCTAGTCTTTAATTACTAGACATAACGAATCACACAATCATAATTGAGTCCATAGTCTAAGCATGTGTGGCTCCAACCTCAATAAACTATGCATGTCATATTAATCTACATGCGTCATACCTCCCGTCAAGTGTGGGAACCTCTCTAGTTGGGGTTGGGTCGAAGTGCTAACATGTGCCGCTAATGGAAGATCAGAGGCCACTTGCACATGAGCAACTCGTCCCACGATCTGGGGACAATTCCTCGCATAGTGACCAGGTCTACCACACTTAAAACATACGTTCTGGCCCATCAAACAAACGCCCTTGTGATGCCTGCCACAATTGTCACACTTTGGCACAATAGGTCTTTCATTGTCCCAACTCTGTTGACTCCCGCTTCTTTTAAACTTTTCTTCAAACTGTCTAGCTTGTAATTTTTCTTTGATATTTCTGTCATCCACCTTCTTACCCTTTTCTGAAGCAGAGCCAGTTGCTCCACTAGCACCCGATGCTTGTGCCTCGGAAGACTTCTTACTTTTCGGCACACCATAAACTTCTTCCACCTTCCGGCATTGGTTCACGAATTTGCTAAACTCACGGATATCACAATTTGACATTTTCCGAGACATCTTCTCATTCAGACCCCATTGAAATTTAGAGGTCATCTCGGCCGGAATGGGTAAGGCTCTCCCATATTAGCATTTTTCACCAATTCATTAAACTTGGCGAAATATTGGTCAATTGTCATCGACCCTTGCTTTAGATCGTTATACTCATTCTGCTTTTGTTCCCTAGCCTCCCTAGGGAAGTAGTTATCCAAGAATAAAGTCTCGAACAACCGCCAGGTGATTTCCCGGCCTTCAGCTTCTAGGGGCTGTACGGTATTAGTCCACCAATCCTCCGCTTCTTCTTCCAGCATGTACACGGAGTAGATTAGCTTCATTGCATCAGGGCATCTCATCACCCTGAAGATTTTCTCCATCGCTTGGAGCCATTTTGCAGCCGCCATTGGCTCATAACCTCCCTTAAAAGAAGGAGGTTTGTGTTTTCGGAAAGATATCAATCTTCTTTCCTCCTCTCCATGGTCACCGACATTCTCAACTCGAGGTTGACGAACCTCGGTGTGATGACTACGACTTCCAGAATGGTGACTACCCTCACCTTCATTGTTACCCGCTACACCCTCTTCTTGTGAAGGAGGTGGAGAAGGCGTAGCAGTGTGAGGATGAGGAGTGGGTTGCCGGTTCACGGGCCTAGAACCCCTCAACGTCCTCAACTCAGTCATCATTGCGGCCATAGCAGTCCGCGAGTCTTCATTTGTCTTTAACAAATTTTCATTGGCTCGCCTGCTAGCAGCCAACTCCCTCTGAACGGCTACAAGAGCTTCAGCCACGGGATCAGGCTGTACGCTCGTTGCCCCACGGCCACTTCTGGGCCTAACAAG